AAGAGGAAGGGGACAAGGAATAGAAGGAAAAACTGATAGATGTTTAGAAGGTCCCCAAATGTTTGGAAATAGGTTCCAAATAACTCAGTTTAAAAAAGAAATCACGTGGAAAATTACAAACTATTTTTAACTTAATGAAAATAAAAATAAAATGTATCAAAACTCATATAGAGCACCTAAGGCATTTTTAGAGATAAATCCATAGCTTTAAGTGTTTTTATTTCAAAAGGAAATCTAAAATAAAAAAATCCAAGCTTGTATTTTAAAGAAGCTAGTAGGGCCGGGCGTGGTGGCTAACGCCTGTAATCCCAGCACTTTGGGAGGCCGAGGCGGGTGAATCACGAGGTCAACAGATCGAGACTATGCTGGTCAACATGGTGAAACCCCGTCTCAACTAAAAATACAAAAAATTAGCTGGGCATGGTGGCGCCTACCTGTAATCCCAGCTACTCAGGAAGCTGAGGCAAGAGAATTGCCTGAACCCCGGAGGCGGAGGTTGCAGCGAGCCGAAATCCAGCCATTGCACTCCAGCCTGGGTAACAAGAGCGAAATTCCATCTCAAAAAAAAAAAAAAAAAAAAAAGAAGATGAAGAAGAAGAAGAAGAAGAAGAAGCTAGTAAAGGCAAGCAAATTAAAACCCAATACAACTGGAAGAAAAGAAATAATAGATATAGGAGAAGTTAATAAAAATAGAAAACAAGAAAGAAAGTTAATGGAAGTAATTTTTAAAATCAGTAAAACTGATAAGCTTTCAAGTAGACTGAAAGAACATAAGATACTGTCCTGTATAAAAGAAAGATAACACAAACCATATGGACATTAAAAGAATAAGAAAAGAACATTATGAAGAACAATAAACTTGACAATTTACATGAAATGAAAATATTATTTGAATTATACACATTACCAAAACTGAAACAAACAAAAATAAGCCTAAATGATAAAACAAAAGTTCACAAATTGGATTTCATCAAAATTAATAACTTCTGCTCTTCAAAAAACACCATTAAGAAAAGGAATGGGCAAATTATATACTAGAAGAAAATATTTTCAATACTGAGATCTAAAAAAGGACTCCTATCCAGAATATATCAATAATTCTTATAAATTCATAAGACAATTCAATTTAAAAATGGGCTAAGTATTTGAAAATATAGTTCACAAAAAACATATGAATGACTAATAAAGACATGAAAAGGTGTTATTAATCATCAGGAAAATGCAAATTAAAACCCTAATGAGATATGTACATACACACTACAATGGTTAAAATTAAAGTCTGACAAAACCAAATGTTGGAGAGGATATGCAACAACTGGTATTTTTATACTTTGCTGGTGAGAATGTAAAATGATGCAACTTTGAAAAACAGTTTGGCCATTTCTTATAAAGTTAAACATACACAAACTCAGCAATTTCACTCTTAGGTGTTTAAAAGGGATATGAAAATATATGCCCACACAAAGACTTGTATACAAATGTTCATGGCAGTTTTATTCATAATAGCCAAAAACTAGAAACAGCAAGGTTTCCATCAACAGGAGAAAAGATAAACAAGCTGTGGTATAGCCATATGATGCAAATCAATTCAGCAATTAAAAAAAAATGAATTACTGATACACACAACAGAATGATTCTCAAAAACATTATGCTGAGCAAAATAAGTTAGCACAAATGTACATAATGAATATGTACATTATGATTCCACTTATATAAAATCCTAGAAAGCAAACTAATCTGTAATGTCATAAAGGAATTCAGTGGTTGTCTAAGGTTTGAAGTGAGTGGTGAAAGCAGCCAAGGAACACAAGCAGACTTTTAGGGTGAAAGCAAATGTTCTGTATCATGATTGTGTTTAGAGGGGTGTATACATTTGTCAAAACTGATTGAACTATACACTTAAAATAAATACATCTTACTTATTAATTACACATCAATAAAATGTAATTTATTAAGTTCCAGAGTTTTAAAATTTATGTAGTAGAAATGCAGATGCATTTGTTTGTCAACATGTTTTAACTAATATCCTCTGACCAACCAAATGTATCAGTGTGGTTAACATATCAGAATTAAGGCGTGGTGTGCTGAAGGAAGTTTTAAGATACACTTGTTTGATTTCTATAATACCTAAATTAAAGCGACCCTTTTGGATGAAATAAGAGCTTCCTATTTTATAAAACTAAAAATATTGAGTTAAGGAGAGATGCCTAGATATCCATAGTCTGTAAACTTGCTTTTGATTAATATTTTTTCCAGTTGGGCATCAACTAAATTATGTATACAGAATATAAATATTGTATTCTTCTCTCTAGCTTACAACTTTTAGATCCATTTTCTTCCTAAAAAATCGGAAAAAGATTAATGTCTTTATTATAACTTAAAAAGTCATAATCACAGAATTTCTTAAAAATAAGTATTTCGGATCACTTTTATTTTTATTATTATTTTTTTTTTTTTTTTTTTTTTTTTTAGATAGAGTCTCACTCTGTTAGCCAGGCTGGAGTGCAGTGGTGCAATCTTGGCTCTTGTGCCTCCCTGGTTCAAGCAATTCTCATGCCTTAGTTTCAGATGCAGGCCACCACACCTGGCTGATTTTTGTGTTTGTTGTAGAGACAGGGTTTTGCCATGTTGCCCAGGCTGGTCTTGAACCCCTGAACTCAGGTGATCCACCTGCCTCATCTTGGTAGCTAGTGGAAAATGCTTGTTTATGACCTAAAGAAACATTTCAGTTAATTTTGATGGTAGAGATAACATCTAATTTGCTAAAAACTTTTTTTAGCAAAAAGAATTTTTCCTGACCTTTCTCAATCATGTAGTGATTTAGGTAAAACATGTATTTCTTGATCATGTGTGGTTTAGGTAAAACAAATAGCATTGATTTTGTGTCCTCTTAATGAATCTACTTCCAGAGCACATGATAGGTATTTTGGAAAAACAGCATTACATGTTAAGTCTTACCCCACTACATTTAGGATGAGTAAAGCATGTTTCTCACATGAGTCTCCTTGGATCACAGTAATAAATTCTGGGAAATATTGTTAATTCTCTTTTGAAATAACTATTCATTTACTCAGAAACAATTTAGGCCCACCTTTTCTTCATGTAGAAGATACGATCTAAACATCTGCTCTATCTTACAGAGGATTAATGTCTCTTACACATGCAAGTTCAGCCTCACTAGAGATCTTCTGTGTTAGTCTGGATGACCAGAGAAGCAGTGCCAAGAGATAGATATTAGATAAACATATATGTTTAAATATAAAGATATAAAGAGATTCATTATAGGAAATTGGCTCACATGATTACAGAGGACAAAGCGTCTCAAGAACTGTACTCAGTAGCTGGGTCTAGACCAGGGAGAGCAAATGGTGTGGTTTCAGTCTAAGTGTATCTCCAAAAGTTAGAGAAGACTGATATTCCAGCTCATACATTCAAGCAGAGAGCAAATTCTCCTTTACTTCTCCTTTTTCTTCTATTCAGGACTTCAGTGAGTTGGATGCAGCCCACCCAGAGTGGGATGGACAATCTGTTTCACTTGTTTACTGACCCAAATGCTAATCTCCTCTGCAAACCCCTCACAGACACACCAGAACATTTGTGTAACCAAATATCCAGACACACTGTGGCCCAGTCAAGTTGGTGTAAAATTAACCTCCATATCTCCCGAGCTTTCATCCCCTTAAATAGATAAAATCAAGGGGTTACTGCTTTCCCTGGGACATTCTCTTACTTCGGATATCTATGGTAAACAAGGATCTTGATAACAAAGCATGACAAGATAAGCAAACATGATAAGTTGGAAAAGCAAGCAAGTGGCCAGGAAAACGTACTAGTTTAAAACATAGCAGGAATCTGGCCAAAGCCTACTTGGAAAATGATTAAGTGGTTTATAGAAGCAATTGTTTGTAAAATTTATTTGAGGAAATAAAATGTGTGGTTTGAATTTAGTTTAATTAAACACTTCACACTGTTTTGTTGTTGCTGCTTTCCCCACCCTGGTATATAGCTATTCCAGTGACTTAAACATAGGTTATTATCATATCTCTCAGATTCTGATAGATGCCCAAAGATCATCATTCAGACTGTGTATCCTGATGTGACTGACTGTGTAGATAATAGCATTTCTTTTTAGAATTATTATAAACGAATACAAATATAAAAATGAATAGAGAAAGTACTTAAAGAGCTTATTTTAAATCATGAAAATTTAGTGGAAGAAGCACCAATACAGATATTCTACCTAAATGCTGATTATATAACAAGGAATCTCATAGCAGTTTCTCCCTATAGACAAAAGAACAAAAGTATATTCTATTTTTTCCCTACCAAAATAAAGCTATGTGAATTTTCTAAGCCAGAGATATGTTTCTTATGCAAAAATACTATGAAAATGAATTGGAATAGATTGAAAACTGTATACAAATTAACACTCTAAGGAAACTGGGTTTTTTAAAAGAATTTGGTATCCCTTAACAAACCCAATGTGTTCAAAATAATCTCAAATTTAATAATAGATTTTTCTTCTACAAGTTTAGATTTGAGGCTAAGAGGCAGAAGTAAGTTACAATTTAAAACTAACATGTTAACTCCAATTCAGAAAGGGTTTTGAAATCCCTAAAAGATGATTTTGCTTCATACTTTTTAAAAGAAAATGTATTTATGGTGAGCCATGACATGCCTTCTTTTTCAAATGAAAGGGTTTATTTCAAAGGCATTTTCTCTTTGGTGAATGCTCCTAGCCACACACTGATATTATAAACAACCTGAGTTTTTACATTCGTTTAGAATCCATGATGAATTTGGATACTTTCCCTCTCCAGCTTTACCACTAAAATTACAAAATGTAAAGCAGTTTTAGTTTAACTTCTTTTTTCCCCAGTAATCCAATGGTAAATCCTCACTAGACTGAGATAATCAAAATCCACATGCTTGATACTCTAACAATATAAAACACGCCTATGTGCAGTTCCCACAATAACTTTGTTTTTTATCCAATCCAGCACTAATGTATGCAAGCATTTTTGGGAATGTATCTGCAATAATTCAAAGACTATACTCGGGAACTGCCAGGTACCACATGCAGATGCTGAGAGTAAAAGAGTTCATTCGCTTTCACCAAATCCCCAACCCTCTGAGGCAACGTCTTGAAGAATATTTCCAGCATGCATGGACTTACACCAATGGCATTGACATGAACATGGTATGTATTTCTGTTTTCCAAAATGAAAGTGCCACAGGCATTATAGTGATAGCCAAAATGAACAAAAAATCCAGTTTATCACCAGCTTTGAACCCTTTGCTTTTGTTTTCTTCTCTCGGATGTGTATTTTCTCCCCTGGAGATAGTCTCTCATTCTCAATTCATGGCATTGCATGGTGCTATATCTAGTTATACTGTGTGGCAAAGGCATTATAACATGATGCAAACTGATATAACTGTGTGTAGTAGAGTTCCCATTTCTGGTGAGAGAGAGCATTGCTTTAGCTGGGACTTGGACTTTCACTACAAAGCCTCATTGCCAACACCCCCAGTAAATAGTTGGATCCAGTTGCAATAAGATTTGGCAAGTAAATAGCAATAATTATGATGCCCCCAAACAGGGATCCCAGGTTAACACACTTTAAAAGACAGGAAATTGAAAACTTTTAGGAGAGGTCAGGGATCTTAACTATATATAAGCATTTTATGATAGGAAGTTTCACGCTTGTTTTAAGAATTTTTTTTCTATATTTTAAACAATCTACGCTGTGCCCTCTTACTCTACCTGGTTTAATGCATCTTTCCTTTCAAGGGGAAAATGCAGATGCCTTTATATTTTTCAACATCAACAATCACCTGTCATAACTTCCCTTTCTGTATCACTGCTCAAAAATCAACACAATTAATAATACTAATGTGGTCCAAAAACCTATTTTTTATTATTAGGAGAATTGCCCACATTCTTTTACCTGGCAATTTGGCTATAAAGGCTGATTGCTAAACAAATTATACAACAAATCCAAATTCTATGACATATCACAGAGCACCAGAAAAAAATAATAAAAATAGAGTATCTTCCCATATGGCTACTCCTCCACTGGGCAAGGACCCTGTTTCTAAGAATTCGTCAGAAAATAAAAGCATTAATATTTAATTATGTCAATTGCATGAAACAATTTTTGTGTAAGTGAGACTGTGCAGTTTAAAGTGGTACTTTCTGTTTGACCAGTAATATTCTAATGAAGAAGCAAGGGTTCAAAATTAGCAGCAATGGTGCAGGAAGCATTGCAAATATTGCCCCATTTAAAAGTAATATTTATCTGTGGATAAGTTTATCATAGCCGTGTGTGATTTATTTGATTGAGAAGGACATGCCATGACAAAAATGTTGATTTGAAGAGCTAATCAAATTAGCACTTTTCACACAAAATTCCATGAGTCATTTCTAATCATCCCAAAGTTCCTTGTGAAAAATTCATTTGATAAATTGATCCCACAAAGGAACACTTTAATCTCACAAGAAAGAACACCTACATATTGATCACTTTTCTATATTTCCATCATTGTTATTGTTTAACAAAGGTATCAGCATTCAAAATCAACTGGGGACTCTGCTGCTGGGTTGACTGAAGCAGTGTCAAAATTTTTTAATCAAAACATATCACTCATTTTTTGTTGTTTCATACTGCCAGATCATTTCAAAAACAGTAGCAAAACAACTATTTTACCCCCCCCATGTAACTCTAGATTTGTGACCATTTTTTGTGATAAAGTCTATTTTGTGACAACTATTTACTTTTCATTGTTTGACTCTATTACCTATGAATATGGTTTATATACCACTTGCCTATTTACAATGTACTTATGAAAGATTTATCTCTTTCCTGTCTGCTTCACACCTTAATAAATGGAATCACAACACCCACCGGTAAGAACAGGAGGTATTTATATCCAATTTAATTCTCGTGTAAATTGTGGAGAGCACCCTTGTTATCTGTCAGGTTTAGAGCTTGTTAAATGATTTCCAATGTTAGTTCTGATCTTTTTTGCATGATGTAGCTGAGGAAATACAAAGCAAGAAACTGGGGAAGACAACCTGGAAGAGGCCAAGTACAGAATAGAAATCCTTAACTTTAGCAATGACTTGACCTCTAACTATATTTATATACAGCTTCCCAGTCCTCATAAAAATTCACTTATCTGCCCCAGTCCCGACTCTAGTAAAGGCTATGGGTATACGGTTTGCATTAGATAATTGTCATAAATAAAATGTCATTCTCTTTCATTATCCTCTATTTTCATGATGTAGGTGCTTTCCTTTCCTCTCATCTGCATGCCTGTGTTACATCATCCTGGAGTGTGTGAGCTCTAAACCATGTGCCACTGAGTCTTGCATGTGGTTTTGAGAGCTTGACTTTGCACGGACCTCTTGTTTGTATATGGTGTCTACATTTCTCATTTTGTGACTGCAAAGTGAGTAAGCAGACTGCAAGATAACTCTGAACACTCAGCAAATCAAGGATGCTTACTTGTTAGGCACTACTTACAAAACAAAGTTGATTAGAGAAAAAGCAACTGTGCCCTTAGACTATTGAGAGGTTACAAAAATATCAAAATGGATTTTTTACCTCCAAAACCACACTTAAAATCCCTCTGTATTGTCAACTAAATTGTAATTTAATCGCAGTTGAAAATCATTCAAATTTATGTGTTGTCACGCATAAAAGCACATTAAATTTGTATTTTGCATTAGCATTCCATGTTATTTTAAGTATAACCTTAAATATAATTTCTCATGAAACATTTCAGGTCATTTTTGCTGTTCAACCATGTCCAAATGAAGTACAAGATATTCAATCATAGTGCATTAATTAACCCAAAATTATTTTCATGAACAAAAGCATTTGATTGTTTGATAGACCAAAAAAAATAAGAAAGAAATGATCTAAAAAGTGTAGCTATATCCTTTAATCCCTGCATCTTTTGCTTTTTGTGAAAAAGCTATTGCCAGAATGTTTCAATATTTAAAGCACTGTAGGAACAATTATGGACTCCCTTTTAGTTGAGCCAAGTGGATCAGAGTACAAAAGGAAATGGGCCAGAATAGTGAAGCTAAAGAAAGAATCATGGTTTTTGTTTTGTTTTGCTTTTGTTTTTGTTTTGAGATGGAGTCTTGCTCTATTGCCCAGGCTGTAGTGCAGCAGTGCCATCTGGGCTCACTGCATCCTCTGCCTCCTGGGTTCAAGAAATTATCCTGCCTCAGCCTCCTGAGTAGCTGGGATTACAGGTGCATGGACCACACCTAGCTAATTTTTTATATTTTTAGTAGAGATAGGCTTTCACCCTGTTGGCCAGGCTGGTCTTGAACTCCTGACCTCAAGTAATCTGCCCACCTCAGCCTCCCAAAGTACTGGGATTACAGGTGTGAGCCACTGTGCCTAACCTAAATCATGTTCTTTTGAGTGTGATCTCATATTTATCAATAGGAAAAATTATCTGTAATATGTGCACAAATTAATTCTGGGAAACCCTCTTCCTTCTACCTTTAAAATTTTTAGTTAGGAGTGAAGAGATGGTTTTTTTTAGAGTAGGACTGATGGAATCTCAATGAATTTCTCCAAATCAAAGCTGTCTTCTGATTTAGTCTGAAACTTTCTGAGGTTACATAACACTGTTTTAATTACAACACTACCACAGTAATGAAAATTATCTTCTATGTCAGTGTAGAATTAAGTGGCCTCACATCAAACACAGGAGTCTGGCTTGAATGAAGAAGGACTCCAATGACCATGGCCCACACATCTTTCTGGATGAAGAGAAACAAACTATTTAGTACTCCTAAATTTAATATTATATGTGCATGGAAGAAATGCCTGCATTTAATGTAGATTTACTCCTTACCTAAAAATAGCACCTCCACCCCCACCAAATAATGGCCAAATAATAGGAAAAAAATGCAGAATAGGGATTTAGAAGACCTAAAAAAATAACTCTCAGTCTGCCACTACTCTTGAACAAGTCACTTAACCTCTCTGTAATTTCATTAAACTCGTCATTTTCCAACATTTTTAAAGCACTAGAACCCAAATATGCTAAATGTGCAAAAACGTTATTATGGAAGATTTTCTGCTTGAGGATGGCAATTGTAACGTATCTGCTGCCCATCCCCCCACTCGGGTAAATACAGAAACAGTTTTCATTTATTTTAGCAAGAAAAGGAAACAATATATTTTCTTTCTTTCTTTGTCTTTCTTTCTCTTTCTCTCTCTCTTTCTCTCTCTCTCTCTCTCTCTCTCTCTCTCTCTCTCTCTCTCTCTCTCTCTCTCTCTCTCTCTCTCTTTCTTCTTTCTTTCTTTCTTTTTTTTGCCTGGGATATTAATGGGGGAAACTTTGAGATACAGACATAGAAAGGAGTAGGAATAAGAAAGGAGTAGGAAGTGGTATAAACCCTCAGTAGAGTGGGTAGGTAAGTTTTTCTTAAAGACAGGACAGAAAGAAAAGAGAAAGGGTGAAGGTGTTAGCTTGCAGGTTAAAGGGAAACTTGGTATCACTTACACTGTGTCATTCAGTTTTCTACGTTAAGCATAGACTAGATGAATCCTGAGAAAGAAGGAGGTGCAAATAGAAGAATAGCTCAAGACAGGGAGAGTTTTGGAGATTTTAATTAATTCAGCTTAATAGATTAAAAACAAACTTAGAATCGTAGTGAGATTCTGAGTGACAGCCTGGACTTGTAATGGACCCAATGAACAAAGTCAGTTAAAAGTGGAAAAGAGTATAATAAAGAATGATATATTGTTTAATAGAAATGTATATTTATTGGGGCTCATGTAATTTCTAAGGAACATTTTAATAAAAACTTGATTTTCTTTACCTTCATAACTATTCTGCTTTCTCTATGATCTGTCAGAGTAGCCTCCAGTACTAACACAGAGCTTATCTCTGCATCTACAATCTAACCCTACTCCATCAAAAACTTTGTTACACTCATTCTCTACACTTATTTGAAAGACTTCATCTGGTCCAGACCTTTATATTTAGATCACAGAGTGTTTTGATACACTGTAGCAAAGAATAATGGTGAGCTCTTTCAGTTATGTTCAATTAGCAACTCAGATGAAAACAATCCTTGTGACAGTATACCCCATTAGAAATGTAAAAGCAAAATTTGCAAAGTAGCATGGCTTGCCTTCACCGTATTGCTTTCATCTCCCTTACTTT